CTACCTAACTGTAAAATTTCATCAAAAAATATTCATAAATAAAATTTTTATTGCAATTTGAAAAATTTGTATCTTCGCAAAAACTGAATAAAAAACATTTTTTAATTTTTTTTAAAAAAAGTATTCCGCGAATTTTTTAATTTTCAAAAATTATATACAGTTTTGAAAAATAGACAAAATTACCTTTCCATTGATATATAACATGCCTACCTAATGTTTTTTAAGTGACAAATTAATTAGGGAAAACTCAACATCTTTTAGAAAATTTACCTAGCACTATTATTTTCATCCATATATGTAACAAATTTAAGAGTTTACCTTATGGATGAAAATAATAGTGCTAGGCAAATTTTCTAAAAGATGTTGAGTTTTCCCTAATTAATTTGTCACTTAAAAAACATTAGGTAGGCATGTTATATATCAATGGAAAGGTAATTTTGTCTATTTTTCAAAACTGTATATAATTTTTGAAAATTAAAAAATTCGCGGAATACTTTTTTTAAAAAAAATTAAAAAATGTTTTTTATTCAGTTTTTGCGAAGATACAAATTTTTCTAATTGCAATAAAAATTTTATTTATGAATATTTTTTGATGAAATTTTACAGTTAGGTAGATTTTTTTACTCAAAATCCAAAATTAAATAAAAATTTCGAATTTTCTTATTAGAAATCCCGGAATTCCCAAAAAAGTTTTAAAAAACCCCAAAAATGGGATTTTTTGGTTTTTTGCCTATTATATCCATACCAGGGGCGGGGTTATCGAAACCCGTTACAAAATGATTAAGAACTTATTGGGTCATATAAAACAGGTCACTATAATTTGATATCGACTATGCGATTTGAGAATTTTTGCTCAAAATTTAATTTTCCATAAAAAATAGGGTTTTTTTGGATGGACCTGGTCCCCTCGGTATCAAAAATTTTTAGGTTTTGTTTCATTTATCGTATTTTATGTAAAGTCAGCTTTCCAAAAAGTATAAATTCTATATACATCTTCTTAGAAACTTTTTAGATAACTTAAAAAGAAAAAGATACTTTTTTCCCAAAAAAAATGACAAAAAATCGCCTTTTTTTAATTTTTTAAATTTAAATGCCTATAACTTTGGACTCAGTCATGATTTTTACATAATTCTTTCACTGCTTGGTATATAAACTTGTTGTTAAGCAAATAAAAAAAAAATGGCGAAAATCGGAAATATTTGGACCTGCTATTATCAAAAAAACTAAAGTAAGGACGGTAAAAATTTTAAAATTTTAATATTCAAATGCGAATATCTCCTAAACTATAAGAGATAATTTACTGCTACGACGACATTTTTTATAGTGCTCGATGAGGAGATTCTATATACGAAATTTTTTTTAAATCGGAACTCAAATGAAGAAATAGGATCGTTTTAAAAATTTAACATAGCCGAGGTGTCCTAATTTGAGGACCCCCCGCCGGGCCCCTGGTTGGCCTATAAGGTCCAAATTCAAAACCTAAACTCGACAACACCTCCTCTTTGTGCATACCAAATTTCATTAAAATCGGATTAACCGTTTAGAAGTTACCGAATTATTTCCCTCTTTTTTTTTTCCTATACCACTGTGCGCTGAACACCTAATTTAATACGGCGCTTTTTGTCCAGAGAAGTCTACCAGATTATTAAAGCATAAGTTATAATTGGTCTAATTACATTTCCTGACCATGGTTCTCCTACATAGCTTGTTGATCCTAATATATATGTATGTGGTGTCTCCATTTTAATTTCCGGTTGAAGATTACACCTAAGTACTTAATTGACTGTCTGTCACCGGCATCTTCTTGACTGATTTCCGTCTTCTATTGTGGCCTCTAGGTTGAGCCTAGCTCAATGCACTATTCAGATCCACCTCAGCTCTTCTACACAAGTAATTTGGATCCTTTCCCCTTAGAAGTATTCCGACATCATCTGCAGTGCGGACAGGTGTAAGTCCTTTCTCGGTTAGGTTTATTAGGAAGCTATTAATTGTGGTTACCCAGACAAAATAGCAGCCTGTGGTGTAGTCTTTTCATGATAGTTTTATCGTACAAAACTGGTCTAAGTATAGTATAAGAGTACCAGTGTGTACATTATTGAAGACGCCTTCGATGTCAATGCATACCGCCAGTGTATACAGTTTGTTATCGAAGGATTCACCTATATATATAGTGAGCAACTTTAACGTGGTTTGCACCGATCCTCCCTGTTATATTTGAGGTCTTTATCTGGTATGCTACTTTTCACCGGCCGCAGAGTACGTTATGTTTAATGATCTTTAGAATAATTTTAAGATAAATACTTCTTATGGGGCTTAGGTTAAGGTTTGATTCCAACGAACTTTAATTGTAAGGACAATATATAGACGTAATTTATTAACGACATAGAAATTTTTTATGAGAAACTTTATAAGGGATTTTGCATGGCGTCTAAGGTCAATTGTGGACTGATAATTACGAAAATTACTTTTATATCTTTTGGATATAGAAAATTACATATTTGTGAGCTCTAAAGACCTATTTGAAGTGTTCGGTTGTATGAACAACTAGACCGATTTCAACCATGTGATTTCAATGAACATATTGCTTGGATCAAAAAAGAACTTTTTGTCAAATTTTCTCACATTGTCTACAATTTATCTTGAAAAGGAATGTACGTTGATTACAAGACTTACATTAAGACGCAGATGGATGCTTACCAAGTTATAATTTTCTAAAGGATTAAGCCGCAAATCTGATCTCAGATACATCATCAGGGATTTGAGATATCTCGAAGAAGCAAGAATATGTGCCAGAAGAAGATGTTAAGCCTTTATTTTAAACCTGATGGAATAGACTTTCAGATGACATACAAGATTTTATAAATAAGGTTGTCTTGGCGCTGTTATAACATCTCAAAAAGAACCAAAAAATTAAGTTTTTTTTCAAACTTCAGCACATGATATCTGGAATTCCAGATGTGATGGATTCGGATTCAATGCAGCTCAATCCTTTAGAAAATTATACTATGATCTCTGAGTAAAAAATTTTTGGCCTGTGTTATCTATGTACGTATGTAGTAAGTATGTATATATGTATATCGACTTATGTATATATTAGAACACTTTGATACTGTATTGATAGCTATACATTAACAGACATCAACACAAATTCTTAATACCCTACCCTTTATAGTGAGGGAATATTGAAAAAATGCCCTTAAAGATTGCCATTAAATAATTAATAATATTATTTAATTTTTAAATTCAAAATTAAAACAAAACAAAAATAAACAGCAAAAAAATACAAAAAAATTATTTATGAATATTAACACCCGGTTTATTAATAAATGAACCACAAAAAGAAATAAATTTATCACTGCAAATTTGTTAACAAAATGTCAAACTGAATGAATGAAAGAAGAAAAAAAATAAATAAATATAACAGCAACAACGACAACAAACCCCCCAATGATAGACATACACAGGCACATACAAACAGAGCATAAACATAAACACACAAACATGTATGTTAAACTCTCGCCAAAGCCAAAAACTCACAGAGAGATAACAGAAACATACAATATATGTATGTATGTAGGTATGTATGGATGTATGAATGTACATATGTTTGTATGAATGTTCAACATGATGTACAATAAATATATGTTTGTATGATTGAGTTTATGAAATGTATGAAACATTTATTTAAATGGTTGGATGTTGTTTGTAGAGAAAGAGAGGAGTAATAGTATGAAAATATGTATTTTACATGTTAATATGTATGTTTGGATGTTTGTTTTAAATGGATAGATGTATGTTTTTATGCACGTTTTATACTATAATATTTTGAGTAAAACGTATGTTTGTAGCAAAAAAAAAAAAAAGAAGAAAAAAATAATGCATGAACCATATTCGTACATACATATTTACATTATTATTATGATTATTATTAAAACATAGTAGTAGTAGGTTCGTAAAGATAGATGTATGAATATATGTACAATATTCATAAGTATTTTACATTTGTTTTATAGGGTATGTACGTAAGTATGTTTGTACATTTTGTATGACTCTGTATAAGGAAATTGAAAATAAAACATGAAGAAATAAAAACAACAAAAATTTTATAAATAAATTTATTTATTAAACACATACAAAATGCGCTGCTTACTTCAATAAGAGAAGAAAGTTTTATTGTTTTGTTGCTTTGTTGCTTTATTTTTAGAAAATTTGTAATTTTAAAATAGTTTTTAAATAAAAATTATTTTGCTTTTCATTAAATTTAAGTAAAAAATATGAAAGAAATTAAAGTTGGGGATTGGGTTTTATGTTAAAGTTACATTTTTTAAAGCTGTATAAATTTAAAAATATGTAATAAATTTAAAATAAATGTTTAATAAACAATTATTCAATGTTTTAAAAAAACAATTGTTGATAATTTATTTATAAATAGTATCTGAATTGATTAATGCCATAGAAAATATAAAAAAATATCAAGAAAAAAATGTGTGTGTGTGTGTTTGAGTTTTTGTATAACGTCTTCTTCTGGCCTGCTCCCACCTTTGTGATTTTCTTAGCAGAAACCAAAAACAATTATTAATACTCGTAAAACAACAACAATAACAAAAACACACTCATTTAATGAAGAATATTTTTGTTTTGCTTATAAAAAACTTAAACGTTTTAAGAGATTAAATCTGCTAAAAATTTTAAAGCAAAAAGAGATGATACACAAAAGAGTATTAAAAGAGAATTTTAACACTCTTAAAAAAAACTCAGAGATAAACACACAAAAGCAAACCTTAATAAAAATAAACTTGATTTTGTAACTAAAAGAGAGGTAGCAACAGAGAGTGAGAGATTGAGTGTGTGTGTTTGCTTGTGTGATGATTTTGTTATGATATTGTTTTTGTTTTTATTGTTGTTGGGTTTGTGTAAGCGTGTAGCAAAAAGCAAAACCAAAAAAAAAAGCGAAAAAAGGAAGGCAGGCCTGTATTGTTGACTGCCTGTTGTATATTCAGTCGGTTTGCTACAATCAAACGAACCGAACAATTTCTTTTGAAACGGTGATACTCTAGTTCAGTTCAATGCGAACGTGAGAACGGTGTGGACGTGCCAAAAATACTACGCGGAACCATCGTAATTGAAATAATACTACAGCCACTAATAATTTCAATTAAACTTGTAATAATTAATAAAAAAAATAATTTATTAATTTTTTTCCCCAATACAAAACTCCAAATGAATGCAATTAATTATTAGAAAAAAAAACAATTTTTCCAATTGTTAAAAAAAACATTACAAGAAAATTCAAAAGTCCTGGATTATTTTGAATTTTTCTTTAAAAAACAGTTTAACTGTGTTTAATATTAATTTATAAAAAAAAATCTCTTTAAAACTTTAAGTTTTTTCTAAAAAATCTCAGAGATTTAAAAAATTTCTAAAAAATTGTTTTGTTTTAATTTTTATGTTATTTTTATACAAACTGTGATTTTTGTTTAATTAAAAAAAAAGAAAATCTCATAACTAACTAAATTATTTGTTAAAAAAAAAGAAACAAACTTGTGGTTTACCTTGCATTATAACAACAATCACCTTAAACAAAAAAAAATTTATAAAAAAAATCCAAGAAACATTTAAGCATAAATTTTTGTAGTTTTTGGCCAAAAAAAGAAAAACAAAAGCAAACACACACACACACAATTACAAATCCAGTGTTTTAAAAAAAACTATTATTTAAAACAATTACAAATTTTAATTAAAAATAAACAAAAATTTATCTCAAAGATATTTCCAACTGAAAAAAATATATAATTTTGAAAACAAACGGTATTTCCCCATTAATGATAAGTGACGTTAACAATTAAATTGTAAAGAAAAACGCAAAAGCAAAAACAACAAACGCAAACTCAACATACTTTGCAAACAAGTGAGCAGTGAAAAGAGAAACAGCAAACCAATTTACAAGAGAAGAATATATAAACTGAAAGAGTTTTCAACTAACGGATTTTTTACAAAAACAAATTCATCTCCACTAACTGGGGGAGATAGTTTTGCTTTGTAATTTTCCGTAACTAATACAAAAAAACTCCTGTTTTAACCTACTGAGTCGTCTTCTGTCTTTACCCCCACCTCCAAAAACAACAAGCCAAAAACAATGACCTTGCCTAGTGTTACACCCAACCAACAATGCGACGATGATTCGGACATGTTTGGACCACCCCGTACCTCCCCACCCATTGGCTATCATCATCATCGGTCACGCGTTCCTATGATTTCGCCCAAATTGCGTCAACGTGAGGAACGCAAACGCATCTTACAGCTGTGCGCCCACAAATTGGAACGTATCAAGGATTCGGAAACAAATCTCAGACGCAGTGTTTGCATTAATAACACCTATTGTCGTTTAACCGATGAACTCAGACGTGAAAAACAATCTCGCTATTTGGCCAATTTACCTAGGTAAGTTTTAAAATTCTATTAATTATTTGTATTAAATTTATAATTATAATTTTGAGGTTAGATAATAACAACGTAAACACAAGCCATTGTTTCTTTTGTGTTGTTGTTGTCTTTGTTATCACTTTTTTTTAAAACCAGTGTTGTACATACATATGCACATACATATATTTTATTTGAGTTTTTTTCTACAAGGTTAAATTGAAAAAACAACGACAACAAAGAAATAATTACAATTTTTTACTAAAAATGCATTTAAAACAAATTATGAAATTTATAAAACAAAAAGCAGAAAAATGAAAGTGTTTTTTGTATTTAAAAGAAAAAAAAAGTAGTCAAGTGATAAGAATATTAAAATTAAATGGAATTTTGAAAACCCACAAATGAACTCCAATCCAACAGTGATGCGTAAGTTGCGTCATACTTGTATGTTTAGGCGAGTGAGTCTAGTGTTTAATAATAATGAAAGTTAGCAACTTTGTCGAGAGTTGCCAATTAAACTAGAAAGAAACTAAAGCTACCAGTCAAAGTGAAAATGAAAGAAAATGTTTTAAAATTTAATGAAATTTTAAAAATCATTAATTACGTGCTTTGTTATTATAACTCAGAAAAATATTAGAAATTTTATTTAATTTTCTTTTAAAATTATAAAAACAATTTGCATTTTATTTAAACAAAAACAAAAAAAAAAAACCAACAAATATGGACAAATGAATTTCTATGTATAAATAATCTTACAATCAACGCCTGCATAACACTGCTGTTTTTATTTAAACAAAAGTATAGAAAAAAACACAATTTGATTTTTATTGGTTTTGTGATAAAGCAAACGAGGGTGGTTTTAAAAATTCTAGAAACAAATTTTACATAACATTAAAAAAAATCTAAAAATCTGCTAATTGTATTAAATGATTTCTTCTAGAACTTTAAAGCTTTTAAGTTTCAATTTTAAACTTTTCTAATGACCCTTGTTATTTTTCCTAGAATCAACAATTGTTTGGAAAACAAGTTTAAGTCATCAAAAAATTTAAATAAATTTCAAAGGAATCCTATTTCAAATAAAATTCTTAATTTAAAACAATTTACTATAAAATACAACAACAACAATATAATTCAAAGAATTTTAATAATTTTTACAAACAATTTGCATAAATGCCTATTAACCACAATTCTAACTATTAACTTAAGTTTAAACTATAAATTTAAACTGTTGACTTGAATTTAAACTAAACTTTAGGTTTGACTTAAACTAGTGGCAAAAACTTGCTAAATATTCATAAATTACAATTAGTTTTATTTATTTCTATTTTTTTCTATAATATAACTCTATTTTCTTTTTAATTGTAAAACTATTTAGAATAACTACAGTTTGGGGGCAAAAGAAAATAAGAAGAAAAAAAGTAACGATTATTTAATAATATTGAGTAGTTGGAAAGCAAGCAACGAAAACAAAAAAAAAAAGAAAAACAACAATAAAACGACAAAGATTATAAATTCAGGCCAAGCTCATGCCAAAAACTTATGAATGTGTTTGCCAACAGTTTAAATAAAACCAAATAAATAACCAAACATAACCCAGCCAAACAGACATACAAAAATCTACAGCAAAAGCAGAGCTAACAAACAGACAAAAAGACAGACAGACAACCCAGTCAGCCAACCAACCAGCTAGCAAGCCAAGCAAAAGAACAAGCAACAAAATATACAAGAGGACCCATGAAAGTTTTTGAACATACAACAGAAAAAAAAAAGAAAATGGACAGACGGACTTACAAGCAAGACCACAAAAGTATAGACCCCAAAAACAAAATAATAAACATAGATGTTTGTATATGAGCTCTCTTATTTAAAAGGCTTAAGCACACGCTATATTTACACACACACACAAACCTGCCTGAACAACGGTAATTTTTCAAAATTACAACAACACTAACAATGTTGTGTCCCAAGAGCAAAACGAAATACACAACAACAGCAGCAGCAACCACTAAAAGGAAACATATTGTTGGCATTTAAACGTAAAAAAGAAGGAAAAAACCTTAAAAACAGTTAAATGTTTATTAAATACAATAACAACAAAAATTAAAAAATTAATTTTTGTTAAGGCAATTAAAATCAACATTAAGATGTTAAAGTTTTTTAAAAGAGAGAGAGAGAAAAAAAACTTATTCTCTTTTGATAAACAAAAGTCCTTAAACATGAAACCTAACAGAATAATAAATAGCAAGACAGAAATGTTATAATAAAAACAAAACTTTTTTATGTTTTCCTATCTCTCTCATTTTAAAAGAAAACTCCTCTTAACATTTGTTAAATTAAGAAATTTAAATATATGTATTTTAATTTTTTAGCTTTGAACAACAACAACAACATTAATCTTTACCAAATAGACCTTCTCATCTTTGTAACAAACCTATAAAACGTTATTATTTATACAAACGTTAAAATGATCACGTTCCACTTGCAGCAGCAGCAACAACAACAATAAAAACAAACAGAAACAATAACAACTTGTACTTAATACACCCAGCAAACAGAACCTTTTAAACATTTAACTTTCAGCCTACTCAAAAAAAAAAAATGGGTGGGACTTAGCACAGACAACCCCATTTAATCAAAATAATACAAAAAAGTTTGATGAAAATATTAGCGAAACCCAAAGACTACTTAAAAAGTTAAAAGATTACACATTTTTACCACACATTCCCCATTTTAAGTCTAAAAGTGGCCAAACTTAGCACAGGCACAAACCTTAAATAAGAGTTTATAAGGTCATTTACAGTTAGTAAGTTAATTTATGAAAAGTATATTTACTCCTAAAGGTTTTCTGGGTTATAAAAGTATGAGGATATATCTTAAAAAAAGTGCAAGAAGTAATAGTTGTTATTGGTTGCCAACTTTACTAACTGTCTAGCTATTTTTTGTCTGTTTTTTTTTTGTTTGTTTACTACTATTCAATGTTGCCAATATATGAGAGAAAAAGAAGAAAAACAACAACAACAAAACCCAGCTAATAGACAAGTATATACAGACATACTTACGTACATGACTTGGAAATGAAACTACAAATAAATAAATAAATGGGGAAAATATACAACTACCACAATTTTCAAGACCATCTCCATTTGAAATACGCTTTGTATTGTATGTATAAAACAAATTACACATAATTTAAACAAAAATTATAGAGGGTTTTCTTTAAAAAGACTGATTACATTGCTATTATTCCGTTTTATTTATTTGCCATCCCCCTTATTTCTTTAATAAAGCGAGAATGAAAGTAATAACTTTGTTTAATATAATTTACTTTGAAAACTAAATTTAGCTGCGTGTGGTTTTAAGCAAAAAAAAAAAAAGAAAAGGAATACAAAAGTGTTTGTTAATTTAGAGAGAAAAGAAATTACCACATATTTTGTAAAATATTTTATTAAAATAAAACTTAACACAAGTTATGAAATAAAGCAATAGTTTACAATATAAAAATCTTTACATTATTTGCTTATTAACTTGACATTGCCTACTATACACACACACACACCCCTCCCAATGTTTACATTTTGTCATTTGTGCATTACGAGAAGTTAACAATTACTAATCCCTCTCGCTCTCTCTCTTTCTAATGCAAACATTTTACATATGAGTTGTTTGTTTAGCAAAACAATTAAAAAAAGTATTTTGTTTTGTTTTGCCAGCATTAATTTCACTTATTTTATAACTTTTTCTCTATTTAATATTTCTATAAATCAAAAATTAATTAAAAACTCTAAAAAGTATTTGAACTGTTTTGTCTTAATAATTCCATTTTTTGTAATGAAAAAGAAAAAGAAGACTCTCTACTAAATAAAATGTTAAAAGGAAAAATGTTCACAACCTTTTTCTTTCCTTTGTCGTCTTCGTCAATAAGCATATCACTTAACAGTCAGTGAGTGAGTTAGTCAGTCAGTCAGTTAGCAAAAATATGTTTAAATAAAAAAAGCAAGTTTTCATGTGCAATTGTTGTTTTAATTTTTCTGGTGCTGTTGTTGTTGTTTGTTTGAAAAAGAAATACGTCTACAGTCTATAATATTTTTGTTGTTTTTGTTTGTTTTATTTTTTCAGTAGAAGCTTTTTTAGATTGTAAAATTATACACAAGATTTGGTAGTTAACTAACATTTAGGGTTTTTTCAAAAATAAAACCGGGACAAAAATTTCCTGTAAATAAAACTGTAAAAATTTCCTGTAAATAAAACTGTAAAAATTATGAAATATTTTTATAAAATCCATATTTCTTAAAGAATTTGATACAAATTCCCCCTTTTTCCCCTTATAACCTAAGAAAATCCCCTGAATTGTAAAACCCTTTCACACAATATTTACTAAGAGGCAAGGCGACGTCTAGCTGAATGGTTGGATAGTAGTAAACTTTGCAACAAGAGAAAAGAGTACGAGGAGGTTGCTGGTGATATGGTGCTGTTGTTGTTGATGATGATGATGATTGTGTTGCCTGTTTAGTTGGTTACATTAGTTGTATTACATAGAGTAGATACATTTATGTATTTATACTCATTCACTCGTACGAGGAGTGAGTAGAGTATACCATCCATAGTATGTTTGCTAAACGAGACTGTTGCTGCTGATTTGTTTTTCATTTGGGTTTTTGTATTTTTTTTTTTTTTTGGTTAGAGTTGGTTGTTGTTAGTTTCAATTGCAGTTTCTTTTTTCGGTTTTGTTGCTGTTGTTTTGTAGATTTTTTTGCTGTTTATTTAAGTGTGTTTTTGTGTAGCTTACTTTGGCTCTGAAGTTTTTTTTTATATATTTGTTGGTAAAGATTTTTGTTGTTACTATTTTATCGTCATCTTCAGTTTGTTATTGCTGCTGCTGCTGTTGCTGTGAGGAAAAACATGTTTCCCATTAAATGACTTTGACTTTGGTTAGGAAATAGAATTTTTGTTATAAAACCAAAACTAAATCTTAAATTTTATGCTAAAATTTAATTAGATAATTAAGTAAAAGAAAGATAATT